CCCAACAAGGACCCATCACAATAGGTACGACATACATACCACCCCGCACAGGCTACATCAACTACATAGACTTCCACACACTTTTGAATAGGCCACATCCCGTATACCTCCTCGCAGACCTAAACGCACGACACACCACACTAGTGAACTCATCCTCCAACCACGTAGGCAAACAATTACACTCACTCATAACCCGACACAAGTGCATCCACATCGGCCCATACTTTCCAACCCTCATCGCACACAACAGCACAACATCACCAGACATAGTCCTAACCAACAATAAAGTATTCCACAACATACGCCTGCAACCAGGACCCATCACACCGTCAGACCACATTCCAATAATAGTTTAGTTTAGTTTAGAACTAACCTGTTTGAGACAATGAACCACTTTTGCTGTTCATTCTGTAGTTTTTCTTCTAAATTTCACTCTATCTTACTTTATCATTACTCCAAGGATCATGAAAATGAACCCAATTTTAGGCTCAACTGTCAAATAAATGGATGCTTGAACCAGTATTCAAAGGTTAATTCTCTTAGAAGGCATATTGCTAGAGTCCATCCAGAGTTTTGCAGGAAAAAACCACAGCATATAGGGTCTTCTAAACACCGTCAGACAAGTCCCGCAGATCTAAATGATCCGGAACATTTGAATTCTATCAATGAAGAACAGTCTTCGGAGCCAGATGAGAAAAATTATTTTTCTGAACTCCATAACAACAGAGTTAACTTGCTAAATGCTGAGTCTTTTAGTAACTTCCTAATGGAATTACGAGAAGAGAAAGGTGTCTCATCCAAGAATTGCAATGCAGTGGTAAGAAAATTTGAAGATATAATAGATGGTTGCATTGAAGGCACTGAAGCTGCATTAAATATGAGCAATATTACTGACCTGGACAAAGAATGTATTTTAGAGCTACTCAATTGTTTGAAAAATTCTCTAAATGTCATCAATACAACATTCAAGCATGAAGCACACTTTAATAGAAATGGTTTTGTAGCTCCAGTCCTACATAAGCTAGGAAACAATCATTCTCTCTCATATGTCCCCTATTATAGAATAGAATAGAAGTGTCGGCGTTGAAGAAATAGGCCCATGGCCTGTTGCCGATTCTTGAACTTTTCGTGACTTGATTCACAAGGGATCCGGCCTTTGGAACCCGATCTTACTTATTGCCTGATCCGTAATTTGCTAGGCATTTTAACGGGCGTTCGACCGAGGGCTGGTTCGACGCACTGCCTAGATACGGACGGCTTGGGGGCGGATATCATATTCGCTGCAAGACTCCGGCGTGCTACGTCCGAGAGGTGTACAATTTTTTCGCGGTACGGCGGACGACGCTAGGCCATTCGATCGCCGGCTTTTTCTCCTGAGGGCTGATTGGTCTAATTCAATTGATTCGTTCTATCTGGTGGCTTTCGGCTGCCTATATGATTTTCCAGAAGTGTTGAAGGCTACGTTCCGGAGAGCAGGAGTCATGATAGTCCATTACACCCAGGGCAGTGGTGGTCTTCGGCAGGCTTCCCAGCTGACTCGCGTGCCGGCAGCGAGCTACGCCCCTGTCGGACTCGGACTCACGATATCAGTGTCCAACGAGTAACGGACGTGGATAACGGACTCGAGCTTCCCGCTCCGCAGATGCGTCTCATTTCATGCAGTTCTTTCAATGGCGGGCAACGAACTCGCAGACAATGAGATAAAAAAACTATAGGAACAAAGAAACTAGCGATGAGGATGCAGGAGGTGCACCAGTCCTGAAGCTGCACATGCACCATCGATAAATATGCATATGTTCTCAGGCACACGCACACGTGAATGACTTACAGTCTCCTACCTACGGGTAACATAGACACAAGTTCGAGCGGTCGGAGTTGTACACGGGAATGGCTCTGCTTGAGGACAGAAATTCAGTCCTTCCATTCTCATAATTTGTAAAAGTAGATTCGAGTTCACAATTGTGCGTTTGAAGACTGCATTTGATAGGAAACGATCTATTTTACTGGCTGGTAAAATAATCGCAGCGTATGTAAAATAGAAGACACCTAAAAAATACTTAAATTTCCAAAATCATTGCAGATAAGCAAACAAAATTGCTGGGCTACTACGTTGTTTAACATTTGTGATAATCGTAGGAGGCATTTCACTATGGAAAATATCTTCAAATTACCGATGCATTATTGTAGGCTAATCATCAACGTAATATGTACGTGAAGTCATTCTGAATCATACACGTATATACGAACAAGAATTATTCATGAAAGAAAATATAAGACAGTTTGGTGATATTAAATGAGCTCCAGTCACATGAGATCTTTAATTACATGATTTTAGCAAAAATATGCGCAATCAATACAGCCAAAACAATAACTATCACCATTGCCAATAGTCTTCCAAAAGTGTAAAAGATATATTTTTAACAACTTTCTGCACCGAAGGCGTTGAAAAGATGTGAGCAGATTATTCTCTACTTCAAAATGGGCACATTTGACTCGTACATAATTTCAAATTATGTCAAGTCAGAACCTCAATTAAAGATGCTCAAATGGAAGTTTAACGCTGCACATTATGAAGTCGTATCGCAAGTTTAGTGTTCAGCCAAGTCTCATGTAAATGGAAATTCGAAAGAATAAATCAGAGAGCTTATTTGACAGAATTAAAAACTCACAAAATGTCGTGAACCTAGGAAAACTTTGAAGTTTGGTAATTCAAGGGCAGTTCTCTCATTTCGAAATATTCTGGAATGTTTGGTGGAGCGCTCGCAGTTAAAGAAGCGGCATAACTGAGGTAAATCAAGCAATGCTTGGGCAATTATTACCTAATTAATCTAAATTAAAGTCGAATATTTTCGAATATATTAACTATGCAGAGCTCTAATGTCATTTGGATCGCTCGTGGCATTTTGAGAGGCTCTAATAAAAAGGTTCACATCTACGTTATTTTTAGAAGAAACAATCTTATCTAAAGAAAACAACAACTCTTCACATAGCAAACTTTCCTTCAGATGAATAGTGTTGAAACAACGTTTAATAAGTGTAAATTCCACGTTTAAGCGGGTAAGATTTTATCCGCACTACAAAGATGTTCGCAATAGTACGTTTCTTAATGGAAGTTTTATATTATGCACTTGAGAGTTCGTTTAATGATATTTCTTGACTCCCAAGGGTTGTCAATAAGTTTTTTCCATGATAAATTAAACCTGTTCCAGCAGGATATTTCTGTATTATTGAGTTTTGCAACAAGAAAATTAACTGGTATTATGACAGTATTTCATATTAAAAAATATTTTTGTTCTAAGTGAGATATTGACGGAAAATACAAGCAAATTGACTGCTTATTTTGGGATTCAAAAACTTCCCCAAAATTTTTTACAAACCAGTTATTAACAATTTTAGATTTTTCTTATTTATTATCATGATAATTTATGTTAGAATTTATCATTAAATTAATGCTTGCTTCGATGTGAAGGTAAACTCGTGAAATTGCGCCAGAGAATGCAAAGCTCGGTTATTATTATTGCAATCAGGATCTGAGGCTCATTAAAAAACTGACTTTCCTGACATGTCATACCTACTTACGAAGTAAATTAGCATTTATAATTCGTTGCACATTTTTTTTTCAGCTTGCAGACATTCATTTTATCATAGGCGTGCATACATTCATTTTATTTTAAGAAGATAGACATTCATCTTCTGTTGACCGCGCACTGTACACCGCTTGGAAACTTAGTCTCTGCTACGGGTTGAGTCTCTGCTACGGGTTGTCTCTGCTACGGGTTGTCTCTGCTACGGGTTGAGTCTCTGCTACGGGTTGAGTTTCTGCTACGGGTTGTCTCTGCTTCGAGCTGAATCTCACGCGCGTAACAAACGAAAGCCCCGTTTTGAAATAAAAAACATATTAAAGTGATCAGACAAGTCACAGGCACAGTTATATTATATTAATGACATTAAAAATAGTAATAATAATAACAATACTATTATTAATATAAATAAAAATAATATTATTAATATTAATAATGAAGAATTATAAAATTGTTTATAGAGCTTTTAAGAATATTTAGCGGGAGGGCTGAAGGCCGCCTAAAATATTTCTAGAGACACCTCTGTTCGGAGCGCTTAACTTGCATGTTACAAGGAGATGAAAGAATCAATAATATGAACAAGAGGAAAGCTTCGCTCTGAACAGGCGAAATAACACACCTGCGACATATGCGAAGATATATCATGAGATGATCTAGATTTTTAATTTGGAGTGGATTTAATATGGACAATTTTATCCGTATAGTGAGCTTTTAAAACAGAGCAATATTCAGTTGCACAGAGACGCTGTTACAGAGGAGCTGCAGCACAAACCTAGCTCCTCTACTATAGTTAAAAAGAGCTCACCACGTATTTCCTTATGTCATTTGACGAGGTTTTCGGCTGAAGAAGATGTGAAAATAAACTCTTACATGTGCAAAGTGAAAGGAATCACTATAATCAAAGTAAAGAATAGAAGCTCAAAGATTTTTGAGGGTCCATTTTTTTATTTTTTTCAAGTAATGAAGTGAATGAAATATGTAAGTGATATGCAAGAAAAAATGTAAAAGTCTTAGAAAATCACAAGAACAGTCAACTATTGGCCGATGTAGCCGTAAATAAAGTGAAGAGAACACGCGCGTCTTGTAACAATTAGAACGGACTCCCGGGACGTCCCCACAAATCTTGAAAATGCTGTCGCTGAAACAACTGTTTCATCTCTAACGAGTATTATAATCAGCATAAGCATTACTACCCATTGTAAATATTCTCTGACATCACTTATTTCCTGAACCAGTTTTGTCAATGAAACCTGATCAGAAGCAGTTATTCTCTTGCACTAATAAATAAGTTTGAATTTCAATCAAAAAAATTTTTTTTTTAATTTTCATTCAACAAATTTTCTATGACTTCAATCCTTACTACATCCATAGATCTTTCTTACAGTTGATTTTGAAATAGTTCCAAGGGATTTTAATAGTTTAGAATTGAAATAAAGGTTTACAGTCAATCACGTCTTATAAAATGTTTCACCACCGTGGCTCGGTGAGTATTAAAATGTTTACCCGCATGTCATGTATGGTTTTTGTTCGGAAAATATAAGTAAGAATAAAAAATTTCTAAAAAAAATATTGCGCACTTCTGGATATTTAAACATTTTCATGCACTAAGTTGTTCTTATAAATATGTACGAAAATTTTGTGTTGTTCTACCCATTCCAGGTAATAAGAATTCCGATCTCCAATTTGTGTTACGTACTGGCAATTTGTGGAACGATCTATGTATTCCTTCAAATTTACTTGGACCTCATTCAAAGAGAGTCTGCCGGATATTCTGTTCATCTCCGCATTAACCGAAAAGAAGTGGTAGCTGTGATGGTTTTGTGTGAAGGTAAGAAGAAATCGTATACCTTTCAGTAGGATGTTTAAATTAAGCTGTGCTCTTGACCACCTAAACTGGCAAGTTTTCCAAATAAAAACGTGATTTAATTGAATAATTTTTACTATTAGAGTCCTGCTTTTTATAGCTTAGTGAAGATGATAACCAATTATTGTCATTTGAATCGTTGAATCCTCAAGGGGAAACCGCTGACCGCTGTCTCCTGAAGTTTTTAGTACGAAAATTATATTATGTTTTAGTTACTTATAACATAATGTTTTATTTCTGTGTTCGTCCGATTTATATACTTTTCAATCCAGGGACTCCTGATAATTCGACGAGCTTCCTCATGGACATCAGTCGGCAGTTTTTTCAAGCCCACGTAGCCATGAAATCATTCATTTATTTATCAAACCAACCAGTGAAGTAAGTTTCATTATTAAATCTGTTATTTTTGACACATTAATCGATCATTCGCCAAATGTTGAAGAAAAACGGCCTTTTATTTTTTGGATATTGTAATAGAGTCGTGTCAATTTTATTAAACGTTTAGAAGTGTTACAAAACTTTAATACCCATGATGCAATTTAATAAAAATTAATAGTTTCTTGATGCCATTTATGCCGCATCCATAATCCTATATTCAGTCTCTGAAAAATATTAATGAACAATTAAAAAGCCGTTCTCACCATCTTTATGGAAACAGATTAACTTGCGGAGGAACGAGATTTATTCAACAGAATTATTATCAGTAGATTGATTGAGCGGTCAAGCACAAACATTCGCGAATTAGAAGACAATTGTAATTAATTATATTATTATTTCATTTGATGACAAGATTCATAATTGTGAGCGATTCCCAAACTGTATTCAAGAAGATCGAAGCTTTCAGTGAGGCGTGGCCATATGAACAGAAATCGAAGTTAACCCTCCAGGTGAGCTGTAATCTTAATGTCTGTTCGGTATCATAGAATGAATAAATCTTCCCTTATCTCTGATATGGCACGCTCAATGTCAGGAATTGGATTTTCAAATCAATTCGTACCATTCCAGTCAACTCAATCGAACTGGGGAGAAATTAATTTCTGTAAATTCAAGCTTCAAATTTGTTCGTCTATCAATACGAGTTCAATGAAAGATAAATTGTTCCCATAGATAAGCGTGCTGATTTAAATTTTAATTTCTATGCATTTACATTGCTCCGTCCGTGAAATTTCTCATTCAAGTTCTGCACTGGATGCACTGACTGATTGAATTTAGAATTTTTCTGTGTATTAAGTATAATTATGACAATTAATTGAATGAAAGGCATCTTAAATTTCTAGACACATGACATTCTAACGTTACCAAGTCGCGTACGTATGAGCAAAATCCTGGACAGAATTTCCTAGGACATTATCCTTCTGATTTATTGCAGTTTGTTAGCGACTTCTATCCAGACGAATTTAAGGAATTGAAGAAGCTGTTCCGCCCCTGTGCTACTCAAAAACTTTTTGCCGACCAAATCTTGCCGGAAGAAGACGCGGTAATTTACATAGACACTGACGTGATCTTCATGCGGTCACCCGTGCAGCTTTGGGACGAGTTTAAACGCTTCGATGATAAACAAATGATGGCCGCAGCTACACCCACGTGGATGTCTGTAAAGAGGAAGGATGATGCACCACAAGTATTACTCTAAATTAAAAGACACAAGAATGACAATTAAAATGGATCATGGCAAAATTTATAACATGTGATATGGTTTAATTTTTAATTCATTACCCAAATACCTATTTGAAAACCAATTAACTTTGGTTACTGCCGCCACTATAACAGAAAAATGACTCATTCAACAAAATAATTTTTTGATTCCACTGAGTTAACTATGGATTTATCACAGCTGTCGCAGAAAGTTTGACAGCTACAAATGTTACCAAATAGAAGACCACCCTACACATCAATGCACATCCACCACTCCCTCTTGTTCCGAATGTGCCGCAAAAGACCATACATACACACAATGCACTAACACCTACAAGCGATGCCTCAACTGCCACAATGACTCACTCGCAGCAAATTGTCCATACCGTAAACAAGAAATACAACACAAACAACGCAAACAGACCGAGACTATCAAACAAAAGACCGAGACTATCAAATTTATTTTCAACCAATTGAGTGTGTGTTGAACATAAACATTTTACAGTACATCCGTTTTCTGTACTTATTCGATCGTTCTTTGCCTCAATTCAACTAATTCTTCTTCTTCATTGCAGCTAATATTTGCATTTATTGCAACTGTTTTTCCTTTGTCAGCTGTCACAGTTTTTTATTGAATCGATGAAATTTCTTCATGCTATGAAATTTCGCTGGAGAGAAGCCGATGAAAGCTGTAAAAACTAGCTCGGTTTTCATGTACAAATTTGAGCGTAAATGATAAATGTATGATGTATTCAATCTTTCATTAGAAAAAAGTGATGCGTTAATGGAAATTTTTTCATCTCATAAGAATTTAAATCATCTAAAAAAACGTATTGACCTTGAGTTTGGAACTGTTGTAGAACTGTATTCTACACGCATGTTATAGAAGAAGCAAAATGGACAACTAACGAAAAAGTTTGGTGCAGTGTTCAAACAAACGTCTTCGAAGTTGACGTTAATGCTGCATCGAACCGCTACCTCAATTTTTCGTCAAGATTGCTGCATGTTACTCTAACTTTTTACATATGCGATTTATTATGTTTTCGCGATAGACGAATTTACTTTATTTCATGGTAAATCGGTGAGTTAAGATCTCATTCATAGATTATACGAGAAAATAAAAATATTAAATGTGGTGAGTTCACGGGATGTTTTTGTTCTTTTATAAACAATATGTCTTTATGCTCAAACTTTGTCAACTCATAACGAAAATTTATGTTTATTTTTGCACAGGCTCCAGAACATTTCTATGAACTGGAATGCAATTGGAACTTCCGATGGCCAGCGTGCTCGAATTTCTCGACGCGCTGCCCTGAGATCATGCAGCGAGGGCCCTACGTGGTGCAAGGCATTGGTGGCTCCTTTCTAAATGCCGAACGTCATCCAAAGATGGCAGTTAGTAATATTTTTTCTCTAAAATAATAAATATTATAAAAAGTTCTTCGCGCAGAAGCGCTTTTTTTCAATTCTAGTGTTTTATATTTATTAAAATTTGAAAACGCCAAGTAAATTCACTTATCTTCTTCGAAAACGTTTCGAGGAACAGTTCCATCATCAGTTAATAAAAATGTTGGAGCTAGACTTAGACATGTTGTTTTATCATTATTATTCTTATCTTTTTGATTCGATGATGAAATAGGTGTATGGTGATAGAGCAACATTTTGAACGATGAAAATAGGGCGAATTTCTCTGCCATTTTCCTAGCTTTCAAATTGTTGATGAACTTGCGACTTTTGGAAATTATTGAGATTAATTAACTGCGGAGGTCGCAAAGTCTCACCATTGAACAAGTCATTATTTAAAGTTTATTTCTTATATTGTTTTGCATAATTAACTAATTTAAATTTCCTGCAGACTCTCGCAGAGCAGTGGGACGCGTGGAACATGTCCCTGCCTTTAGAGACTCTCATTAATAGTCTGACTGAAATACTACCCACCGCGGTCTCAAGATACGGACACTGCAGTAAAGTTGAAGGATTCGACGAGGCACTCATAAAACAACTTGTCCTACATAATTCAGAAAACATTTCACCGTAATTTATCAAATGTTCGTCATGATTGTCTTCATTAAATTGCGAGCAGTTATTTTTTACTGTGAATTTTACGCCCATACTTCGATTCAATAAACTGAATTTGTTTGTTTGAGCCTTGCTTGTTACGAGGCATACTAGTGCAGTATTTTATCTATACTCCTAATTTGAGATTAATTTAGCTTTGCTTTGGCTTAATACTGACATAATTTCCGCTTCAAAATATTAATATTCTGCTTAGGCTTGTTTGAACTTTTTAGACTCCACACTTGCTTGCCAATAAGTGTTAGAGCAGGCATTTCTCACGACATTTGCAGCTTGTTGCTAATTGGTTTAAAATGAAAATGAAAGCAACGCTTTTTCGGAACGTAGTATGATCAAGTCAAGATCCAGTTATCAAGTTATCAAGATGAATAACGGAGAAACTTTAAGCACCCATGTTAAAATTAATCTCAGATTACTACGTCTAAAATTAAAAGCAATCAAATTTGACCTAAATGTCAATGACAAAATTAACAGTCGGCGGCTGACAACCCGACATTACAGAACATAAAGGCAAGAGAAGTAACAGTTAGCGGCTGACAACCTTAAAATCCTTAGTACATGTTTCGGACGTAGCAGTCCCAAGCCGGATTGAAGCCATATAGCGCCGTATGTCCACAGACATCGCCCCTGTCAGCATGGCCTTTGCGGAGACTACACTTCAGCGTGCCCCTTCCTCATCACTCACCCCTCCGCCCCACCTTACTGCAGCCAATGACCAGCTACAGTCCCTCATTTGCCCCGCTTCTCCACCATCCAACCGCCAATTAAGTTAGGTTTGGTCCAGAAATGATTGTTTGGGTGGGAGAGTCAGGGCGACTGTGGAGGCAGGCGCATGCTGGGGTGTAGCATCTTCGAAGACTATACTGGCTTGAACCGTGGCTGAGGGTGTAACCGTGTACGGACTCCGTAATTCTAGGCACTTAACTTCATAGGCTGCTCTACTCAGAAACATGCTTGCTCACGTGAAGGAATATGAAAGTGATGATGTTATTGAGCAATGCTGAGGCCCCTCGTGGCTACTAGTGTGGTAATCACCTTGTGCTCTCCTGAAGCCTCAGACCAGCAGCCATACCTTGGATTAGCAGCCTTCGTGTCGTGAGTGTCGCTAGGAATTAGTGACTTTACTTTTTTGCCTCTGTCTCTACCTTTCTTTTGTACATACGACTGCAATCCTATCATACCTGTGTTTTCGCTCCCCCCTCCCCATCCCCTCATGCTCCTCCCACAGGGGGCACTTCTGCCTCGAACCCGACGGGCTTGCCCCAGAGGGCGAGAGGCAGTGGCCCTCCACCATCATCATCATCACGACCTTGACTTCCATCTGTATCATCACGTCACCCTCCCTCATCTTCATCCTCATCCAACCAACCATCAAACATATCAGAACGCTCGAGACCCCAGACTTACCGCATCCAACTCAAAAAAATTGACCGAGAATCCCAACGGACCGACCCAAAATATTCCAGACAACTTTCAAGGAACTCGACGCTCCACTGATCCGACTCACTGACACCGCAACTGGTTTTTATGCCGTGACTGACGACGCTACAGCGATAGACAAACTGACCTCCAAAAAAGCGACTGAACTGTTCAACAAAATTAATCTGACGCCAATCATTCCATCCGACTTACGTGCGAAAAGGACAATCTTTGTTAGACAACTGGACAAAGACGTGGGTAGCCACAGTCCCGCCGTAATCAAACAAGAGATCCTAACCCAACAGAACTGGCTACATATTCAAGACGTCATCAAAATAAAACACTGCACACACGTCATCAAAATAATCAACACAGACACCACGATTGCACAACGGATTCTCACCCACGGATTTTACATGTGCAATACCAAAATTACCCAATCACAGTGTGAACAGGAACACTACACCCACCTTCTCATCTGTTACAAATGCTACAAATTTGAAGATCAACCAACTCACCTATGCACCTCAACTACACCTTCATGCTCAGAATGCCCTACCAAGGATCACACCTACACCCAATGCTTAAACACATACAAAAAAGTCTCAATTGCCAAAATGATCACCGAACACTAGCAGCAAACTGTCCCTACCGCAAACAGAAAATCCAAACAAACAACAAATACAGACCGAGACGATTAAGACAAAGACCAATCAAACCTACGTGGACATCGCCAAACACAATACAGCAAACTAACGTCCCCCAACACAGCCTGACATTAACAGACAAAACTCAACTNTGACACACCCGAACAAAAAGAACCCATTTTCCGCAACCACTGGCAGGATATATTCACTCAGGACGACACGGACAATGAAGACTTTGACACAGAACACATCCACACAGTACAGGACCAAGTCAGCAACAACATACACCTAATTCACCCATACAACCATGGCGACCTCTCCCGACTCCACCCCATAGACTTCCCACCTATCACCATAAGAGAATTACAGCGTACACTAAAAACATTCAAACAGAAAGCACCAGGTCCCACAGGCATCACAACCCTCCATCTCAAACACCTACCCAAAAACATGATCCACTTTATACTATACATATTCAACCATGCCATTTCCGCCGGTTATTTCCCAGATTCACTAAAACACGCAATCATGATCTTCCTCCCAAAACCCAATACTTCACAACGCCAAGTCCAAAATTACAGACCTATTTCACTACTTGACATCCCCGGGAAGCTTCTAGATAAGATACTCATCAACAGATTATACGAACACCTTTCCATTTACAACATACACAACACTAGACAACACGGTTTTAGGAAACATAGAGGGACAAACACAGCACTAGCCACATTCCATGAAACACTAGCCATACACTTAGCACAAAAACACACAACTGACATAATCCTCCGCGATGTGACCAAGGCCTTTGACAAGGTTTGGCACACCGGACTCCAACACAAGATCATCCAACTCAACC